GTTCAGCAGTAACCGGAGGAGATGTAACTACCACTGGAGCAGCCGGAGGAGCAGTAACCAACACTGCGGCAATGAGTGTTATTGCAGCTACTACGACAGGAATTGGAGGAGGGGTAACAGCCTCAACAGTTGGAGGAGGTGGGGCAACAACCTCAGCAGTTGGAACAAGTGAGGCAGCAACCTCAGCAGTTGGAGGAGGAGAAACTACATCGGCAGTAGATGGAAGAGAAGTATCTCCGACAAGCACGCAAACAGCACCACCTACAACTAGTGTTTATGTGGACAAAAGACCAGGCGAGTGAAACAATCAGATTCTTGGGGAACCGTTGTGACTAAGGGTGGGAAATTGTAATAAAAAGTCGATCATCAAGGTTAAGTTGACGGCGTGACTTACTTATGCGCCATGACGGATTTTTCAAAAGATATCATCGGATTTTACAAACAGATTTTGGTGGTTTACTATTAAAATAATTATTTGGGGGAAATTAAGCTGTTTTTAAGATGCCTCGTTTCATCAGAATTGAGCTGACGCTCTGATTCCAATAATTTAATAACCCTTAACGTTAGAAGTTGTTGAAGGAAGATCAACTTAATTTATCCCAAATTATATCGAGAGCTGAATTTAATTTTATGCCCCAGAGTTTCGCGCCGGCAAAAACGGAGAATACGGTAGCTATTAATTTCAGTCATTCCAGATCTGAAGAAATGTTACCCCAATCCTGCAAGAAAACACAATCTAAAAGAAACTGAGTCAACACAATGACGTTATCATGCTTACCAAACGAGTATGAATACTAAAGTGAGCCTTTCTTTTATTCAGGTGCATCAGTATCACTGAGCCTGAATATCACAATTGATTGTTCTGGCGCCATCTCGGTCACTTTAAACGCGACCATAATAACTACTGTAAGTAGAGAGCTTGGTTACTTTTATTAGAAAGGATTTATCATCATGTCGTGGCAGCTCTTATCCGAAACGACACTTAAATATGCCTCAATATGCCTTTTTAATAGACAATAAGAAATATAGCAGGTAAGTTAGTGTTAACAACTGAGTTGAAAACGTAAATTGGCCACCATAAAGGATAAAAAAGCTACGGTGGCCAATTTACGCTTTCAAGTAAGTTTTTAACACTAAATTACCTCTATACTCTCCCACCGACGCAGTACCACAGTTTCTTTAGAAATTTACCCCCTTTATCAATAAGAAACATACATGAGTTCTCGATGAAGACACGTTTCTCGTGTCCCCTTGAGCGCGAGGTGTTTCTGTTCTGGTTATTCTGATTTGCCATAAAGATAAATCTTTTAAGATTTTATTGTCGCGAAATGTATGGGTGGTATACCTTTTCAATAGTCATTAAAAAGGTGTGGGATTTGTGGCTCAACCATAATAAACATGGCATAAGCTGATCGTCAATTGCCTGTATGAATCGCTGACAATGTATCTAAATGCGAACATTTCCCATAAAGCCGTTGGTTTCGTTACTTTTTAGGTGAGAACGTTTTGCAATCGAGTGTATATATATTTTGAAATGTACTGTCTTTCATCAATTCACTGATTTACCTTTAAAAAAAATCTATAACAAAAGGCAGGATGATTGAATTAAGTTTTATCATCACCAAATGCAGATGCCCAAAACACGAATCCTTAAGTTCTTAACCATAATTACTCACGCGTTTTTCCAATCTACAGCTTCTCAAACTATATAATAGTGCAGGATTCAGACTCGGTGGAGTGGAAGCTAAAAACGTTATCTGCGACACTATGTTTCATGGGACATATATGCTGTCATTTTACGTTGGAGGACCCTCTAACTTAACGATCGAAAAAGTATTTGAGAATGGACTTCAACAAGGCGTTTTCGGCAATAATATAAAAGCAGAGAACACGGAATCCACTTTCGAGTTTCAAGGTACTTCTTTAAACCGTATGTTAAAGGTAAAATTAATATTTTAATTCCATGGTTCAATTTCGAGATGTCTGAAATGAGTCACGGTTCCAGTAATACACAGAGTCGACACTAACAGATAAACTTCTCAGGAAAAACGTTTTGAAACTTTTAGCTCGATTCCTTGGTTTCGGTGGTATAGTTTTTAAAAAGTTTTATATGTAAAAGGAATACATGCTGTTCCATTTGGAAATAATTAGGTGAAAATTAGGTGAGGACAGCCAAAATTGTACGAGGCCATAGGCCGAGTCCAATTTGGCTGTCAGAAGATTCTTTTGGAACAAGTGAAACAAGTAAAACCACCAAAGGAAAGCTTTTCCTCTTCTTATTTGACGCGCAAATTTTACGAATGGCTCTCCGGCTGGAAGTGAAATTTATGTAGTAATGAAAAGCAGACCGCAGTGGACGTCGTGTAAAATCTTTTGGCATTTCAGACCGTATCATCTGCAGTAGCAACCAAGAAATCAATTATACGCCTCAGAGATCTGTAATGTGAGAAAGAGAAGTTTCATTGATGCGGATGGTGCTAAAGAGGTCTATCCTCTCATCCCCAGGGGAAAAAATTAAAACAGTATCACAAATCGGGCTCTCTTTGAGAATAATAAGGTCCTTAGAGACCGATCTATTAAGAAAATAAGAGGTTTTTTCATATGCTTATCTATTAGTTTAATTTTAAGCTTAGAATAAGTGATTGATGAGTTTTTTGGAAGCTTTTGCTGGCGTTTTCCAGGCTCTCAGAGAACAGAGACCAAACGGCACTCGGCGAGGCCCATGCAGACGCTTTTGGCTCGCGTCCCTTTTTCGTTATCCCTACTGATGGAGAGCCTAATCAATGTACATATTAAGATAACTATTCTCACCTTACGAAATTTTGATTTTGATTTTCTTGTAGGAGTTGTCATTGAAGTAAAGCCCAAATCTGGAGAGTGCGAAAGAGTCTGCTGTGATGGACAAGGCGGGGAAATGACTGTAGAGAGAGTATGCACACCTTCCGACAAATGTCACGGTTTTGACACCTCAGACAAGGAAGATAAAGGATATTGTCCAGGGGAGACTAATGCTTATTGCGAATGCAGTAAAGGTAAGGTCTTGAAATTGATATTTAACAAATAGATTCCGTGTTGCCGCACATTTGTTCGGTAATAGACCAAAGATGACGTAAAAATATGTAAGAACAGAAGAGAAAAGGCACATGAGGCGCAGTCAAGTGTGTCGCTTATGTTTTTACCACATTTTGGCGTCTTCTGTGATCTATTACTGCATAGACCCAGGGAAACATGAAATCTATTTGTTTTGATATGATAAAAAACAAAATGTTTTTAATGGTGTTGTCATCTGACATCTTTGCTTTCATTCGCCCCATTTCTCCGTCATAAATGTAGGTTCTCACAGAAATGTGATTGAATTTACGACCATATTCTAATAGGTTTTCATTTTTGAATCAAGGGTTGCAGGATTTGCCAAGTTTCGCTTTAATCACTGTACTGGGACTCGCATCATTGATGAAGTAAGTAGCAGAAATGTAATAAAAACTAAGAATATTTACTTAAAAAAGATGTCATCGAGAGGAAAGTCTCTAGTGATTACATCTATCGACTAAAAGCAGCGGTATTGTTTTTGGGGTTGCAAATGTATGATACGTGGCTGAAAAAACGAAAAAGGAAAGTTGGGTTTACAAATAGGATCCCGCTCTTTTACTCACTACACTATAACATGGTCACCCGATATGGTTCATTATAATACCATCTTCTCTTGTTTTCCTAGGTCTCTATTCTCATCGTAACTGCGCATGCTTAACGGAAACGAACTACTCCCTGTGAGAGCATACGACTCCAGTTTTGAAGCACGACTATGACACCTCATAACGGTGGGAGATTCTTACCACGGACAATAGACCTATTTTCGTTTTTTAAAAATTTGAAGCTTAATCAAAGAACGACAAAATAAGAGAAAATGTTAAATTTTTTACCTTAGTATATGCAATTGTAAACCTGGCTATCTTCACACGGATGATTCTTTAGATCCCTTTTCTATCTCGACTGAAATATCTAACCAGAAGAAAGGCAAAACGCTTAAGCCAGGATTTGACACAGAATTTGACAGAGATAATCAGCCATGAAGATGGACTTGCGACTCAGATGTCCCGAATGCCAGTCACGGGCGTCACTTAGTGATGTTAAAATGGTCTAATTTTCCGCCTTGCAATCGAGAATTTTCACCTTGTTATCTTATGTTGGAGTGATTAGTTTCATAGATTTGCCCGCCGTCTCATCCATAAGCCACAAACAATGCTTATCAAATTCAGTAGACTTACTTGTCTCTGCTGCATGAATCATCGACTTTCTCTTCAAATCTTTTCGATCAAAGCCGGTTTGTCAGAGTTCTTGGTATAAATATTCTTAGTAAAAAAAGCAGCTACACGTATATCCTAGAGTTCAGTGGGACAGAGGTCATACGTAGGGGCTCGAAGCAGAGAACCTTTGCATTTTCATATAAAGCAAGGTCATTCGATGCTTAGCCCCCACGCCTTTGTTCAAAATCTTACTTAAGATTCATTTTTGAACGCGTGCGTCTGTTTTGGTCGCAAATTTTTAAAGGCATCACGTTTCACAAAAGATTTTAATTCATTCCACTATGATAAGTGCATTCTACCACGTCTGTTCTTTTACCATTGATATAAGAATAATCTTATTAATCCTTTATTAGTTGTGTATCGAACCCTCAAGCAAGTGATGCTTTCCTTTTATCGAGTTTAAATAGAGGATCTTACTTGTTACCGTTTTCATTTAGAAGTGAGTACGCTGAAGTGTGTTTTGTAAATAAATCTTAACTCGGAAACCCGTCTACTGAGATTTTGTTAATAATATGCTTTAACTGAGGTGTAAAATACTCTTAAAGTTAGCCAAACGAGAATCAAAACGTTTGATAACTTTAAGACATAACCAACAACCTCTTATTACGCAAAGCACCCAGTGCGACAACTTCTGAAATCCTGCACAATTTATGAAACCCTGGAAACTTTTGAGTGACAACCTACAAGCTAACAATTGCCCCTATGCTGAAAATCTTCCATTATCATGAACTAGCATTCGTTTACTTTTATACCGGAACACTAAACAGTTTGAACCAAATTACATAAAGTTATTCATATGAATATGTATGAGGTTTCAGAAGCAATGGAAATTTGAAAATGGAACTGACAAGCTTTTCATTAAGACTTCCGCTCGTCCAAAACAGTGTGTCAGTTAATGGAAAAGAACGCTTTGTGAACGGAGAAAACTTGACAAGCATACTTGCTGAGTAAAACTGCGAAGGCTTCAAGTTAAATTCTTGTTCAACAACTTAATCAAAACAAACGCTACGAATGTTGTCGACGACTCCTTGTTCTAGTAGCTTTAAAAATTTATCCTAAAAGAATCTACTACGTACGAAGTAACACAAGGCTTATGTCAAAGCAGCTTAAAGTTTTTAACCACTAAACTCCCAAAATCTGGTAGTAAGCTCTCCCCACTGGCTGCTAAACTTTTCCTCTAAATTATTTACGAGAATTTAGTGTTAGATCAAGATGAAAACTCTACCTGATAAATTTGAGTATTCTCACAACCTATTTTCTGGATTGTGTCTGGATTCTATAGGGAGAAGTTACAAGTTAATCACTTCTGGGATTAAAATGGTTAATGGATGATCTTATGCGATGTTCGCATTAGCCAAGTGTGATGCAAATAAGACAGCTCGGCAGCCAAAATAAAAGAGTGTGTACATTGATTGTCGCGAATGAAGATAAATTCGACTTTTTCGCATTTCGAAGACTCGCTCCTCGATTATAGTCATTATTGTTGTATTAACTTCACCAGTTTACAGTCTTACTGCCTGATTATTTTTTAATCAACCTTCTATACACCTTTGCGACGAAGAATTTTCCTTATAAACATTTTTAGTGCCTGCTTGATCTCTCTTTTTTGCATTTCATAACCACAAAAAAAATGAAGCCTCAGAGGGCTGCAAGTGGAGCGCTAACTAAAAAAACTTCCCGATCACGAGTTCAGGCAAACAAGATATTCAAAAACATATTGAAAAGATCAACTTATGAAATATATCTGCGCAAAAACTGAAATGTCTAATGAGAATAAATCATTAGTTTTATGCAAATACTAGTCTCTTTTTTATTTTGAATTGTTACCAATCTGTGGAAATCAAACTTCGACAAGTTAGGGTTTTTTTAAACTTATGATGCAGTTTCTCGTTCAAAAATTATACGTCTTAAATTATACTGCCCACTGAAAAATAAGATTTAGCTGTAAACTACCGAATATGAAAAGAACCCTACAGTTGTGTGATTGAGTTAATATTCCGATGTTAGTCGGATTTCTCATTAAAAATGTATTACTTAAGCTTTCAAGATGGCACTGCACACTTTGCCGAAATGTCGATCGATTTGAACTTATCAAAAGGAACAATATTTTCCAGAGTAAAAGGAATAATGTTCTAAAATATCATGAAGTTCGGAAAATTTCAAATCGCTCAAAGTATCGGAGAAATGATGGTCTTAAATTGTTTCAAGTTTTATAAATCATTTTGAATGATTTAAGGAATTTTCTTTTCTAAAATTTATGCAAACATCGAAAATTATTTAAATTTAAAGCCACGTTTACTTGGCCGCCTACAAAATAAGAGCGAAATAAAATATTTATTTCGGAGCCGGTATGAATTTCCTATGTAGTTTAAAGTTAGTGGTTCTAAATTTCAAGATGGCAGTTTGCGATTAATTAAAACAGCCATCTTTCCTACTGCGAACCCCTATAATAACTGAAATTGTGATATTGACACGTCATAATAAAGCCGCTAACGTATTATAAACGACAGATGAAGCTTTTTAATGAAAAGAATTAGGCACGAGACAACTGAATAATTCTTTGACGTTATTACAGTATTGTTGGCATCCAAATGCAGGTATTTATGTTCACGATGAATACTTTAAAAAGCATAAAAGCAGCTTTAGATTATTAACATGTGTTGTGGCGCTTCGCCTTAGGCGAGGAAATAAGATCATTGAAGTCTTATTTTGTCGATAAAAGTTACAGGCTTCTGTCAATATTTTGTCTGACAAGTCCTGAGGCTAATCAGCTTATGTGATATCTAAACTGTCACAGTGGCCAATGGTGTCTCTTTTTGAAATAATGACTTTGGCATCAGTATCGACGATGCAAACAAGAACCTTTGGCTCGTCATAGAAGTAGAAGCGATGAATTGCATCTAGTTTAAAATGATGCGCTTTCGACCTTCAACGGTCAGGAGACGGCGATCTCAGAGTGCATCAAGTGCTTTGAAAGACAAGGATAGCAACCACGTAAAGCAAAATTCCACGCCGGTAAAGAAGAAGTCGGTTCAGTGGGCAGACAATTTCAATGGAGAACAGTTTTGCAAGCCTCCTTTGCGAAAATACAACTCTGACGGTATCCTTGAGTTCGACAAGGCGTTAGAGAAGCTTACCAGGGTATCAAGCATGCTAGAAACATCGACAACACTGGAAACGGATTTTGATGATAATTTGAAGATAATTCAGAAAAAGCTTCTGACAGATATAGATCTGAACGAGACCGATGAAAAAACAGCGGTGAAACCTTTTGGAGATTAATTCGAAACAGCGTTGACCAGTGTTGCATTCGGTGTACACGTATATTCTTTAGTAGAGACAGAGTCATGCATTTGAATTGTTTTCCTTTAGCAACTATTATGACTTTTAACTACTACAGATCTTAAATCAAGAATATATATTTAATTCAAAGAGAAATTGATGGCAAGTGCTGACCGCCAGCTTGAAATTAAACTTAACTTAAATTATGAAAAAAAAATGTATGCAAAATTAGCAACAGAAAAGTGATCGTAGGGTATTGGTGAAATAGACATTTTGTGAAGAGCTAAATGCGTGGGATCATTTTCTTTGCTTCGACGATTACGATGTCTATATCTTAAACAATGAGTAAATCTTGGAATATCCCCATGATGTTAAATTATTCAGAGCGAGCTTGCGTACGAGATGGTATTACTGTCGGGCTGGTTTCCTAATTTTTCTTCACCTTCCTGAATGAAAGAAAAGCAAAAAACATTAAAATCATTTTGAATAAAAGCCCTTACGCCTTTTTATTATTAAAGAATACTGTCTAGGAATATTTGAGTGGACGACTTCATGGCCATAATTTTTAATGTACACAAGAACATTTTAAGATATCTTTACAACTGTTGAATATTTCATATCCCTTAGGCTACAAGTATTATAATGGGGAAGGAACAGAATTTTCAAAATGTAATTTGAAGAGATTGCATTTAACTTGATGATGGCCTCGATTCAAGATATTAGTGGCCAGATACTGAGGGTAGGCGTGTCAATAAGCACTCAAAAGGGATCTTAGTGCACTACCATTGTTACGCGTAAGCTACCAATTGCTTTTTGTGCGCACGATAGGTTTAGCTGACAACTTGAACAGTCGGTACGGTTAGATAATCCGACTCTCTTTTATTTTGATAAGTGAAGCTGGTTATTGTGTTTGTTTGTATGTGATTCCCGTTTTTAAAAATAGTGGAGTTTCAATATTCTTAGATGTCTTTGACTAGGCTGCAAAAAAAAAACAAAAAAAAAAAAATGGTAATAATAATCGTAGTGGTGAGAGATAGTCTGTAGGTACTCGGAAGGGAAGATGGGAAGAGACCTTTATTAAAGTCTTGGGAGCCTGTTTTAGTTTCTCAAATGTTGGTTTTTTTGCCAGGGAGACGAGTACTGTGTATCTTTTGTTCCGATGGCAAACTTATGCCATTTTAAAAAATTCAAATTGAATTACTTTTCATATTTCATATAAACCTCACTGGTAGTCGCCTCGAGCTGAAACGTGAAAGGGTAAGTTTAGACGAAACCCTGTAAAGTATTTCGTATGGAAAACCGCATGTATCTTACGAGTACATGCTTGCTATGCATGCTATTCCTGTTAACACAACAATCCCACCATTTTCTAACGCGCCGCTGACCTATAAGATTCTTAACTCTTGAGCCTTTACTGGCGCTTAAGTCACCATTAGACACCACACGTTTGAGCTACGGGTACTTGTTTAGTTATTGGATTCAAATTGATCGGAGATTGCTGTCATAAAGGTAGGCTATAAATTTGTATGAAGATCTTCCGACTGAGCTAAAGTCTAATAAGCTGTAGAGCTCAGTAAAATTTTATCGACATAGTTCGTGCGATAAGAAATTGATCTCTGGTCCGATTGATTACCTCTACCGATTCCTTGTCGATTACCTCATGGGTCAGCTTCGAAAATATCATTTTCACGCAAAAGTTGATGTATGGCTAAATTATCAGTTCTTCAGCTGATTCGCTTGGGTTAGCCTAACTATGGTAACGTCACTTGAAGTACAGTGTATTTTGCAAATATCTCCCTCTTGATTTGGTGACATGACTTTTGAGGTCTAATAATTGTTTGTAACCAAACGCTTAAATTTGAATTTGAATAAGCTAAATGATATCCAATAATTGGAATCATATTTTACTGCACAAATTCATTTTGCCTGACAAATTTTGTTCCAAATTTTTCCCCTGGATTTGGACGAATCACCTTTCCAAGCTGATCGTAAAAGTTTTGACTCACCTCACAGTTACTGTTCATGTGCTTCTTTGAAATTTCTATGAAATAATGTTGTCTGGCTCCACATTGCAGTGTAATAATGCTTGCCCAATTTCTGTAAATGTCAAGTCTCACTGCATTTCATACAATTTTTTATATCACTCTCTTAAAAAAGATGTCAGAGGTGCCATTGGATAACACAATAGACAGTCTACTGGAGCCTGTTCCCAGAGTTGGTGTGACAGATGCTGAGAGGGAACTTGCAAACAATGCTCATGTTGAATTTGAAAGTAAACAATATGACAGGTATGAAATATATTAAAAGGTGAGGTGAAAATAAATCTTGGTTTCAATGGTTTATGCAAAGCTCATGTTAAAGAGGAAATGGACAATATATTCTGTGTGGAAGGCAAGATATAGGACCCCTTTGAAAGTTTTCTTCAGATGCACAGGAATTTAAGGGGTGCATGGAGAAAAGAAAAGGCCTACATGACCTCTGACAGACTGTTAAATCCTTCTTCAAAATTATCCTGTATCACCTTGTGAAACAGAGGAAGAAGTTAATGTGGCATCAAAGTAACTCAAGACTTAATTCTATACAACCATCTGTTAGAATCTATTTATGAATCCAAAGTCGACTGCAATTGTATGCATGTTTTAATGTCACAATCCTTGTTTTATGCCATATGAAGAAATAAGTTTTGCTTTTGTTTTCAGATGTTTGATGTCATTGAACAAGCTTGCAGAGTTAAGGAAAAATGATCCAAAGGTTCAGCATAACAAACTAGTGGCACAATTTTACCACTCAAGCTGCAGAGGAAGTGAGGAATTTGCCTGTAACTTACTACAGATAAGAAGACAAGTGAGTATTGCATGAGTTCTTGAAGTCCCCAGTGATCAAGATGTAAGGGTTATCTATGGTGTTTATGGTTATTTTTTTGTTTATTTCAAACTGTGCAAAGTACTTGTACTTAATTTGTTGGCATTATAATTATATAATACATGTGTAACTAAAGGCTGATTTTACTCTGGCAATGGAGTTTAAGTCCAAGTTGGAGTCGTAAGAGAACCTCCAATCTGGTGAAAATTGAAAATCATGCTTATAAGCTGGATGGAATAGGAGTTGGAAGTATCAGATCATTTTCATTTTCTTCTGATTCTGCTTATGACTATAACACTTATGATCCAGTGAAAACCAGAATATCCAAGCCCCAAGCAGAAGTGGCAGATTCAGCCAATCACATTGGGAGTTCTTAGGCTATTCAATGACTTACAACTCCTACATACCAGTTTTCACTGGTTGCTAAGTGACAAAGTCATAAGTGGCATCAACATTTTTCTTCCAATTTTTTCAGTTTGATTTTCTCTAGATTGTATGCTCTTTGATTCTGATTACAACTGCAACTCTGAAATGAAAACCAGCCTTAAGAGTTCAAATTTCCACTATATTTATGTCTTTATAATTTTCCACAAGTACATGCAATATCTGAAACCATATCTTATAGCCAAGAAATATTACTTCAGACTCTTATAATCATTGAAACCAAGCTTAGATCATATCAGCCATCTTGATTGATGTAATTACAAAAATGTTACAAAAATAATAAATCCTAACAGGGGAAAGGGGGTGGGGTGTCAAGGAGGCTGAATTTTCTACAGCTGTATTTATTGTATATGTTAATGATTTTAATTTTCTAGATCGAGAAAGAGAGTGGTGAAACTGGAGAAGAGTTAGATGACATTGACACAGCTCACCTGTTATACAACGAGTCTGTTATTTACTTTCATGTGAGTCTGCAGAGCTAATACTGAACTTTCTTTTTTTAAGCTTGGATTCAAAGTAAGCCAACTTTAAACAAAGAGAGTATTTTTGTATGTAAGGTGAAAGAATATATGAGCCAACTGTTGATCAGAATATTTTCTGTCTTTATTGAGAGTAAACAATTAATTTGTGAATTTATCTTGTTTCAGTTACGACAGTACACAAAAGCATTGCAAATTCTTGAGAGGCTGTTTAAGATTGTTGAACCCCTAGGTATTTAAAATTTGTATCTAAACTATTTCACTGGTGAATATATTGATTGCAATTACAATTATTGCATTTTAAATCAGTAAATGTTATGCAAAAGTCAACATGTAATAGAATTAACTCAGAAGTTATATGTTCCTTTGGGATTTGATGCTTAGATAACATAGCATAATTTTTTGTTTTGACTAATCTTTTCACTCCCAGAAGTGATCAAAAAGGAATTTCTTCTTACAAGATCAATACTTTCTCAAGCAAAAAGGGATGAGAAGAGAGAGATACAAGTAGCAAATTGGAACATTGTTTGGTTTGACAACAAACTGTTGGAGCTAAAATTATAGGAAATGTGTGGGAAACATTGTGGGTGTTTGCATTTACATGTACATTGTAGATCTTGCTAGTAAACAGGTTACATGGAAAATCTGATGTTTCCATTACAGTGTTTTGGTATTTCTTGTTCCACAGAGGAATCTCTTGGATACAAAATTTGCTTCCTGCTCAGTGAAATTTACTTGACACTCTACAAGGTAATATGTCTTGATTGTAATAATGTAGTTCTCATGCTGTTAAAGGTTAGTTTTCTGGTAGGGGCTTGATTCATCTGTTACATGTAGCTTTCTTTCATGACTGAAAGCTTACCTTTCTCAAGAGAAAGGGAGGTAGAGATCATTTTTTAGCTATTTTGTGATACTTGTTCCATTAAGATATGTCATGATATCTTTACATGTACAGTTGTATACAAACCAACATTGTACATGTACAGCCAAAGAGAAAAAAAATACTTTATCACCAAGACAAAGTTTGCCAGGCCCACTCCCTCAGCATTGCAGTTCTTTAATCTCTAAGAGTAATTTGCCTCTGACTCTTTCTCACAGAATCACCATTGAATCAAATATAAAAGTCATGAGAATAAAGACAATGATCATCAATTTAACCCTTTACACCCTAAAATCAGTATGTATATTCTCTATACAGCTCTTTATATATTTCCTTAGGTGCTGACAAGGAGAATTTGTTTACCAATCAAAAGCTTCTTTCGTTGGTGATCATTTCCTTTATTCTCATGATCTTAACATGTGATTCAGGGGTGATATTGTAAGGAGAAATTTGATGCAAGTCACTAGTACGGTTTAATCCTTTAACTCCCAAGATCTCACTTGTAATTCTCCTAACTGTCTGCCAATCAAGTATCATTATGTTTGTTTGGAGAATTTGGTACCGGATCAATAAGTAATCCTATAACTGATACTTTTCTTAATTCCCATCACTTGTTTACATGATATTGTATAAATATTGTATGGAGAAATTCTGTCTTGGTCACTAACAGGAGTTAAAAGGTTAAAGGGTTAAGAAGCTCCTGATTGTCAAGCAAATTATCCCTGTTAGAGCTACATAGGAAATGTAAAAAAAACAGTGTGGAAATTATGAATACTTATGTAAGGGTATGAAAGGCTGACAAATGTAAGATTCACGAGAAAAAAAACTAAGGAGATATGCAGAGGTACCACAAGAGGTAAACAGTGAGATGAATGGTAGATGTTGCACAAACAACCCTAGAAGGCTTAAGATTTCATTTCCAAATTAAGTGAATCTGAAAAATTTCAATATTTTACATGTTTTCATCTACGGCAGTAAGTGATAACATTATAGTTAATTCTTTAAACGAAAATTTTCTTTCATATTTATTATTTTATTAGGCTGATAAAGCTCACAATGTTCTGTCAGTGTTGGAAGCTGTGGTGTTTGGTTCAAATAAACCAGTTGAGGTACAACCTGTGTAAATGATAACTAAAGCTGTCATACATGTATGTTGTATGTTGGTTAGTTTGGTATTATCAACTGAGTTGATTACGAAAATTGGCCACCGTAAAGAGTTCCAAAGCCGACGTTTCGAGTGTTTGCCCTTCATCAGAGCAAATGACAAAGGGCTAATGCTCGAAACGCTTTGAAATTCTTTACGGTGGCTAACTTACGTTATCAACTCAGTTGATAATATTAAATTACCCTGTTATACTCTCCCACGGACGCCCTGTTATACTCTCCCATTTATCATAGGGTGCGTGTAGTTGTTGTCGCACAGTTTAGAAGTACTATTTCTACTTTAATTCTGTACTTTATGTCAGAGGTGATAAATGGTAGGGTGCAAAATTTGCTTAGATGCCATCAGGTATGTTTGAAAAATTTTCTATAACTAGAATAAAAAAGAATTAAGAGATCTATAGTGAATAGAATTCATAACCATACACTACAATCATTTCATTTTTTGGATCACAATTTTCAGTATTCCTATTTTTGCGAGTAAACTGAATTGTTCTTAGTCATGTTGCGTTGTTGTTTTGTTAAATAAAACGTAGGATTAGACATTACGTTAAAAGTGTACTTATATTCGGTAACTGTGAAAAACAACTCACTAAAAACTCTGTCGGCTGACTATGACTGACAGTCAGTTATCTGTGGGAGATCTGTCGGTAAGTTTGCGTACCAAAATAAAGGTTCTCTATGCATTGTAGGATGTTCCGACGCGCAGACAGTTGGCTGTTAGTCACAATTAGCAAAATATTACATTCATAGACATCATCCTCAATGTGCTGTTCATTTTTGTTTAAGTCTCAAATGATTCAAGGTGGTTTGCAAGTTCAACTTGGACCTGGAAGTCAAACTGGACCACAACCCATTAAGGAGGTTGACGAGTCACTAAAACTACACATACATCAGGTACCAAAACGTATCACACAGACTGAAGGATTGAAAGTATGTCTGATTCCACTTGTTCATTCACTCAAAAGTTAAATTATGATTTTTCTTGCAGCATAAAGCTCGTCTGAATATCCTGCTAAAATCAATGAAAGCCTGCAAACGCGAAATAAAGACAGTACTTAACGCGAACAATATGGTAAGCACTTTCGGTTCTCATTGCGCATCTACAAAAACAGCCTTGCAAAGGAAGGAGAACGGCATGATAGAGCCTGAAAGATTGTCACAAATGTGAATCAACTTTTCATTTCTTGCGATTTATGCACTAGGTGGGGTACCCCTCTTATTACTTGGCCGCTTTGACCATGCAGAATCGCCTATCATCGTGTCGAACCAAAGTTTTGATAATTGGAGAATGTCTCTTGGGGAATATTACAACGATATTCCTCAGTATCGGCCAATGATTAATCTGTCACGCTCGTAGACGAATCTATTGAGTACGAAAATGCTTGAAGGAGTATGATCAGGCTGATTCGGTGGTTAGGTGGGTCAGAGTCATACATTGTACCTTGCACTAAACAAAATATACAACCTCCTGCATTTAATAGAGTTCACAATGACAACATTCTTTCCGTAGACACCTGAAGGACTTTTCCTCAAAAGCAACTTTGAATTCCTGCGTCAGAATTTTCGGAAATCCATCAAGCTGCTCAATAGTGCTCCTAAACCGAACGATCTGACGGATCGAGGCCAGTCAGTGAGCACAATGTATTACAACAACTTGGGATGTATTCACTTCCAAATGCACAAGTACAACTTGGCTGCACTCTACTTCAGAAAGTCTTTACAGGAAAATAACAAAGCCCTTTCCGTGCTTCCTCCTGTTGACAAAAGTATGTTTATTTTTCCGTGTTTATTTCCTTGTTATAAGTCAGGGAGAAGTGGTTTTTACGGTAATCGAATATACTGTTGTAGTGTAAACAGTTCAGTCACCTTTCTTTGTCAGTCAAAAAGTCGTATACATAGTTTGGTATTTTTGTAAAGAATACTATTTTAACGATGTTTTTATTGGAACGTAGAAGCCAATTTCTTCTGAATGATCGGTGCTGCTGTATGGGGGGTGGGGTGGGGGGGTCGCTGGAGAGGATGGGTAGTTAATAGGCAGGAAATGTACGTGAACATTGTTCGTATAAAACTATTACCTCTGTAGATGCCCCTGTCTCCAGCCGCACCTTAGTGACCCTTGGTGTTAGCCGCCGTCACGAGATCCTTTATAATTTGGGAATTCAACTGCTGTTTTCTGGCCGACCCGTTGTTGCTTTTGATTGCCTGGTTGAAGCTGTACAAATATACCACACAAATCCTCGACTGTGGCTTCGACTTGCTGAGTGCTGTATTGTAGCCTTCCAGTTGGTAGGTTACATATTTTGTTACCACCAGCCCAAGACTTCTTATATTTACTCCGTCATTTGGATAAGAAATAATATTTTAATTTTAAACCGCTTTTTGGATAGGGAATTGTATTTAGCCGCTGGTGCTATCTTTCAGGAGTTAGTCGCGTTCTCATGGCAGAGCTTACAAAATGGTTAGAGGCTTAAAGTTAGTGTTTTAAAGGCAACTGAACGCACTTGTCCCAGAGAGAATGAGCTCGAAATTTCCTTGCATCGCACCCCTTTCTGTATTTATCTTTTTGGTTGTTTGTTTGTTTGTTTGGTTTTTTTTTTTACACAAGTTAACCTCAGTCTTTTTTCCAAGGTGCCATGGGATAATGATGACTAATTGAACACAGTTTACCATCATTTTCGACCTTATAAATTTTAATTTAAGTTTAAGACCCGTAGGGTGGAACAGTGCTATATACATATACATATATATGTATATATATATATATATATATATATATATATATATATATTCTATGATTTATTTTTTTCTCATTGCACAGTCGGACGACTTTAGACAACAGTGCATCAAGAAGAGCGATGTTGTTCAGGATGTTGTGGGTTCAGGTCCTCACCGTAAGATCGTCCTTACCCCTCAAACTGACAAACAGTGCGGTACTGAGTAAGTGAAACAGTAGCAGTTTAGTTTATTTTAGTCCACATCCCTATTCTAATTTACTTAAACACTCCACTCCCTTCTCAAAGATAAGTGTTAATCTATTTTTTGAGCCCTCCAATTTCTTCTTTTACAAAAATTGACAAGGGGGAATGTTTCAAGAATTATGACGAAGATTTTAGTTTTTTTTTTTCTAGTTTGAAAACTGGGAAAGAAGAACGCTCTTTCTCTTTTGAATTTTAAAACAGTAGATGTCAAAGGAGCCACTTAACGGTTGGGGCGTCGAAACAACTTAGCTATCATTCACCTCCTTTGACCTCATTCTTCGTGAAAACTGCATGTAAACAAGTCAGGCAAGGTGCAGAAACAAACATTGCCTTACATGTTGCATTTCCTTTACAGAGAAAACAGAGGTCAGTCTGCTGCAATGCCAGCCTGTACTCTAGCATTTGCGTCTTTGTGTCTTCAAAATGCTCTGATGCTGTTAAAAAGTGGGGAGGTGACACAAGTCCATGAATCAGAGAGTGTGCAGGAGAATCAGGCAGTAAAAGAGGAGGATTCACTTGGCCAGGAAACGGACGCTTCAAGGTATGTAGGACTTGTGTCACATATAGACTTAGTGGTGAATCAGCTCACTGCAGGGTCTCTGTGGCTCAGTGGTGGAGCATCGGTGAGCAGAATTCAATGGTCTGAGGTTCGATTCTTCATGGGGACTCTAATTTTACATCGTCCCAAGTTCGTGACAAGACTGAAAGACATATGTCCTTTTGCCAATACCTCTGCCATGATACTTTGGGAACAGTTTTTGTTACCGTCATGTTTACTGCCTTGCGAATCAGTTCAAATATTTGTATTTACATAATTGTGTCATGTTGCAGTGACAGTGGTGGCTTAAGTCGGTCCTCCTCAATTCAGAGTGAGACAAGTATCCCAGCTCCCCCCGGGCCACCGGTAAAACTTCGTGAGCTTCCACACTTGAGGTAAGTGTGCACATTAGCAGCAGCATGAAGCAGTCCGTGTCTGTCATTGGGTTTAGACACCAAAACAGGAGTTTTAACTCGAGCATATTTTGCTTGGGAATTGATCTGTAAAATATAAAGAAGAGTAAGACATTGTTATGTTCCGGGGAATGTTCTTATTACTGGCAAAAGATGATCGAAATAAACTTATAGGTATTCCTTTATCTATGTTATTCCTGTTTGGGTAGGCTCCAATACCGTTCCAGAGCTTTGGCTCATTTCCCGAACAGCGGTTGCTAATGGAGTCACGTGTTTAGAATTCTTATTATACATGTTTTTAACAAGTTGTGGACGGAATACGAATGCCCGATATCGATTGGGTTCGATTAATTTGAAACGCGAAATATACAGATTGTTAAATTTGAATGTGATTCGAGAAAAAGGTAGTCTACGTCGGCGAAGCGTTGAAAAAAAAATCGGCACCCAAACTAGACAGCTGCAAAAAAAAAAAAAGGGCTAAATTTTTGATCGAGTTGGTTTGAATTTTCGTTCCAAGTCCCTTGCTAATAAACAACATGGCTCAATTCCTTTGGTGCTTTCTGCAGATGTTGATTGGTAATGTTTCGTGTCATTACAGGTGCTCCATTCTAGCGTGCAGTGCTTATGTCGCGCTGGGACTGGGTGACAATGTGATGGCCTTAGTACATGCGCAGAAACTTCTCTCACAATCCAATCTTGTAGGAGCACTCAGGTAAGTGGAAATGTAACATAGTTATTATCCTTTTACCTAGATCTTCATTAATTAAAGATGCTATTTGTTTGATTGTCTTCTCCCTTATTAAAGGTTTCTCGGCCATTTGTACGCTGCTGAAGCTCTGATCAAACTGAATCGTTTACCGGAAGCTATAATGCATTTGTCACCTGATAATATCAACAACATTAACATCATCCCGGCCAGTACTACTGCGGAAGGTATTTTGCCTCATCACTTGATATACAAAGTTTGGTTGTACTTTGGAGGAGTTTCGGGATCAATGTGAGTGTATTAGCAACTGCGGATCTATTCCCCCCCCCCCTCCTTACCCAACATTAACCTTGACTTGTTATCAGTTGACTATTGTTGGGTTAGGGGAGGGGTACGTGCGCAGTTGCTTAGATACTGACATTGATCCGAGTGTTCAATATTTTTTTATTATGTTATTCAGTTTCATTTTACTGAAATTTGTGTTGTTTGCCATGTTTTTCGGCCGTCATATTTCCATTTTCTTTCGCAGTTGTATCAGGGGAGAATGTTGATAAGGAAAAGGAAACGACCAAGCCTCGCGGTAAGAAAAATCCCTTTCCATAAACACCTGCGATTACTACTATCAGTTATCGGCCTGACCCCGGATGTTCGAGGGGTGGATGACGTTCTCCATTAGATAAATCTCTATCTAACAGATAGCGCAGCACGATTTTGGCAGTAACTGGACAGCCATTTCTGCGTTAGATAGTGTTACTCGCCCTTTGAACAACCAGGCCCTAATATCTTGTCACTGATGGTTAATAGGGGGATGAAGCAACGGGGAATATTGCGTCTTCTTCAGTAAGTCATATATGGCAGTTAGCCCCAACTGTTAAGTTCACTGAGATGCAAGTCTATTTGCTGGTTACCACTCAGTGAATGGTTTAGTTTCCTTGACATTCCAGTAGTACCCATATAAATTTTTGGTTGGATGAAGGTACTTTGAGAGTGAGGTCGTGGAGTGAAAGCGGGCTAAACGAGGATACTATTAGCTAGGATATTTTAGCTCGCGCGCGCTCGCTTAGTTTGTTCAAACTCCTTTGGCGTCATTTTTTCATTTTAGGCCTTCAAATAATTTTACCTTTCCTCGTCTGTTTATTCAACAGCCTGTGAGAAGATGACTTTTCCAGAGACATTAAATGAAGCCCGTTCCTCTTTCCTTGTTAATCTAGCCGGGGTGTACAGTTTACGGAGCGAGTTTGATAAGGCACGGAAGTGCTTACAACAGGTAATTCATACAAACTATAAAACAAAGTTTTACCAAGAGTTCCCTTAACAAAAGGTAGCCAAGCATTAAAGATGAATACACTCAAAGGCGTCGAGTGCAACTAGTTAGTTTCACCTGCAAGTCTGTGCCAAAGAGATGAAGCATTATAGCCTTTCAGTAAGTCATATATGGCAGTCAGCCTCAACTGTTTAAGCTCATGGAAATGCTTAGTATTGTATACGAAAGAGAAACCTAAAAAGGGAATAACTTGGTCTTCGTGAGCTGTGATGTCTAGATACGTCGTATTCGGCATTGTGCCTTGAGTGTAAGGAGAACCTGGGAACCTCTCACCTTGTCCCTTAGTTTCCCCCGTCCCGCCTCTCCCCAGGCAAAAACGTAAGTTCATCTTAAACCTCAGGCAGAATGGTTGAGTTTTTGTCCTTTCGTTGTTATTTAGTTGAAAATCTCGAGGATCACCACAGCTTTGTTTCTTCTGTAGGCCTGTTCTCTCGGTTATTCTAAAGACTTCTCTGCACGCGTTGTTTTACTGGCCGTGTACATAGAGCTTCAAAGCGGTGAGTGTGTGTTTTCTTTACTTTCTATTGTCAATATTTTCAAGCCGACCGCAGCGCTCTTTCAGATACGCTTGCATCCTTATCAGGATGCACAACACATCGGGAAGTCGCAAAAAAATAAAATTTTAAAGCCTTTACATCTGGCTTACGCTTCTGTTAAATTAAAGTAATATACTGATGCAGGTAAGTCAGTAAGAGCTGCGCTAACTTGCGATCTTCGTATGGCTAATTGACTGATGAGAATCGTTATTGCGTCGATAAAATTAGAGCTCTTGAGAGAAGTGACAAAACCGTTCAAATTGATTGTAGTAACTGTGATCGGCTGTCACTTCTTGAGTTTCAAAGAGCAGCCCCAAACTCCTCGGAATACCTTAAAAAGAGCGCGCGGCTGAATGACACCGTTTTGTTGTCTCTATAGGGAACACCGCTGGTGCACTGCAAACGATTAAAAAGCATCAGGTACTTCCGTTTAGCAAAGGGTTCAAGGCAGTGAAGAAAACACGTGGAGCTGACGTGTGGAAAACATAAAGGATCTAACACTGTTGCTGGTTGATGCGAAATCTTATGTGAGGATCTTAATCAGTTAACCCCAGTGGTTACCTTTAGTTTGCTCTTGAACAGTCAAACAATAAGAATAAATAGAATTTCATCGAACGAGCGGGTGTTGTTTACCCTCGAAGCTGCCTTTCCTCGATTTTGTTCGTAACAGTCAAGGTTTATGTTAATCTAGATCCTGTACTATTTCGTAATGAGTTACAAGAATAAAGCTCAAACGAAAGTAGATATCAGCGTCTGCTACTGAGAGATTATCATGTTGAAGACCCATGAGCGAATCGAATATAGTTGAATGCTGGAAAGAGAGTCAACTATGTCCCGCTTAGTGTCCAAGACACGAGCGGTAAATTGTTGTAATGCTGTATATTGGCATTGTGGTGATTATTTTTTTCCGTATTTTATTTTCTCAAGCTCAACAAAGTAATAAGAATTGTTGGAGAGGATTTTATCCTCTGATGTAATGGTAACACAGTTTATGTTCTTGGGCTAAAATTACTCTTGACTGGGCCCAAAACATATTTTTGTTGTTTTGTTCTTACAAAGTGTTGCGTGTCAAATCCGTGGGACCTTCGTCTTTTGCCTCACGACTCCAGGAAGAGGGGCAATTCTCCCAGCCGCTGCATGTAGCGGGGACTTGGATTGATCCCAGCGCTTTGTGTAGCTCTTGGCTCGAACTTAAACTTGACCTTACCTCGTAAGTGCGCTGTTTGTAACCAGTTTTATTTGTATATACCCCATAGTTCTTTTCGTGCACGCTGATTGGCGATTTCAGAAGTGTGTATAATTCACCACTGAGTAGCCGAAGAGACAAACTCGCCCGTCAAGAGTTTGGTTTCCGAGCATTTTTCGGTGTATTTACAGAAATAAACTAATATTTTGGTTTCAGTGTGGCATATACTAAAACATTATTTCATTCACCTCAGTGTCAGTGAAAATGGGAGATATTTTCTTCCACTACGGTGACCAATGGTTAACCATTCTGTATCCTCAGTCATCCTGGTTCCTTTACGGATTGTCCTCAAGTTCTGTTGCCTTTTATACCTTAAGAAGCCATTAATTTTAAAGGGTTTAGAATAGTTATTCTGTAAGTCGCAACAAACCACTTAAAACATCCTCCCTAGTATAGAAATTGACTAATAATTTCTTCCCATAGCTGGCCTGTCTCACGGTTATGAGTGTAACGAGACACGGTGTGTTTTAATCATGTCCAATGATTAACCAATTGGCTCCCAGTAACCTAACACGTTTTCTCGCTACTGAATCAAGTGAACTGTGTTCGGGTTCATGAAGACTTGGTCTAGTACAGACGATGCCTCATTGTTAAGCCTCTAGCCTAAAAGCGCGAGCGAAGAATTCTTGCCTTTGAACTGCGGTTAGTACACAGGGCTATTTAGCAACTATAAGATCCTTGACAACTATCTCTTTTCCCTTTCTGCATTTACCCACTTTTCTCATAGGTTTGGTAATAGATGACCTCATTGTACGTGCTTTTATTTCGCAACATAAGTAAATCGAAGCGTAATTAATAGTCTCCTGTCATTTATAAAGCAAATAAGGACGTTATTGTATTGATAACAAAATTCAACAAGCAACGAAATTCACGGGCCTTGGAGATTATCAAAACGTTTTCCTCGGAAACATTTAGAATCACGAGGTCGTCATGTCAGTGAGAAATCTCACAGTATGAGACGAAAAATGGCAAGATAATGGTCGAAGCCAACCGTTAGACGGTTTTGCGTGTTTCAAAAGAAAGGTGCTTCCACTCATTATTAAAATCACCCTGTGCGAAGTGATATTAGCAAGATATGACGTTCCGTCAGCCAATCAGATCGCACGCTTCTGTTTAATCACCTCAGCAATTTTAGGATAAGTTAAAGGCAGGAGGGTGCTAAAATGGAAAGCAGATGCTTCGAGTCTCCACGAGATTGCGAAGGTTCTAGACGACCAAACAGAAAACCTTTTCACATTTGAAGAAACCACAGGTATTTTTGTCTACGTTTCCCTCGTTACGTCAGAAAAGGTCGAGTGCAATGTTTATGTGTGTGTTTTACCTTCGTATGATTGATAAGTTGCAGATGCTATAAAGAACTGCAAATATCTTCGTGTTACAAATCTGAACTCTGCATTAATACACCATAGTTGTTAAATGCTGTTTAAGTGGCGAATTCATTTCTCCAGATTCTTACTTCGCGCCAAAAGCTACTTACAGTAAGTGTTTTGAACCATTGCTGCGAATGAAATAACGAAGCGAAGGTTCTTCTTTTAAATAAGGCTTTTATATTTATTGTAATTTTCCAACGATCGATTGACAGTTGGAATTATTTCCCTCAGCGATGATCTCATTTCTTATATGTACTAATTCAAAATTTGCATCTGTGTGTTCAGTATAAATATCGATCACGAATAAATCGACGAAAGCAAGAGCTATGCTGGTAAAATAATTCGTTTATTTCGATGGAAATTTGCCTGTAAGTGTGTGTTAAGAACAAATATCACGAATATATTGGCGAAGCTAAGGCGTTTTCCTCGCAAATAAGTCATTTATTTTTATGGCATATTCCTTCTTGATTAGTTCAAAAGACATCTGAAATCATTTTCCACTGAGATTAATCGTAACTCTCTAATTACTGGCGTTTGAATTTTAAGCTTTCATGGAAGGGCATATTGTCTCATGCAAAAGCTTCAAGCACATGCTGTATTTGCCATGACAAATTTTAATTATCAAACTGAGCAGAACAAAGGCTCGGCCTAAAAAGCTGATAAATATTGTTTGCGAGAGTAAACCATCGATTTGAACACCTGCTGAGTAGACCTGTTATGACTAAATTTCTATTTCTTTCTTTTGCAAATGATTTTTTTTTCTCTACTTTTGCTCAAAGAGTAAGTGGAAAGCGGTTTAATTATCGCCAATCGATATCACTTTTAAGTCTTACATGTGTTGCAACAGTGTCATCTTACAAAGTGAATTCGTGCTTGATAAGTTCGCCTATTTAAGATCTTTAAATGACGGGGGACATTTTTGTTCCGGTTAACAATCAAATTAGCAGAAACAGTGTATTTAACAAGGATTGGGTGCTTATTTTCAGTTCATTGTTTGCCTGTAATTAGGCGCGATTTTGTCTCTTCGGCTGCGCGGAGGTGTATGGTACTTGCGAATCACTTCCGAAAGAGCCAATCAGCGTGCACAAAAAGCTTTATTTACCTGTGTGGTATTTAGAAAAAAGACTGTTTTTGAACAACGGACCTGAAAGGTAAAGTCTTTGGGTCAGTGCTCTAACGTGCCGAAAAATTTCGCTTTTCACCTGTAGATTTGTGTATTATCACCTATACAATATAGTGATCCACTTTCACTGTATCTTACTCTTAGCTTCAATTCAGGTGAAATGAGTGACCAGATCGTTTAATGTAATGGGCATATTTTTCAGGGCTTTCTCGAACTCACGAAGATCGGCTCAAAGCAAATTGATTTCACCAGTCAATTTTGATTAAGGATGGACTTCTTCGTATGGTGAGAACTTTTAGTCTAGTAACGGCACGGGTTTTGCCGAAATATTAGCGAAAACACTCCACGTTTTTAGCATCTTGATAAACTTTCAATATTTTTCCCTTATTTAAATTATATCAAAATGATTGGCTATTTTTTCACTTTCAAACGTTCCACCTAATAGCAGAGATAGGCTTCTTTTAATGGAAAATGATTAAATCTTGCATGTGTAATTTCTCGTTCTATCCTCGCTTTTGTTTCTTGTCTACTGCATACGAGACAATTAGTGGTCCTAAGCCGTGTCATCTTTATTCGTTAAGTCACACTGGGATTACGAGAGTTAAGTAGTCAAGGGTTTTAAAGAGTTTCGCTTTACAGTAGTAAGTACGCCACTAAATTCACACACAATGTATGAGATAAGACATACTCCTTTTCGAGGGAGTAAGTACAATCTTCTTTCAAGGCCTGATTTTTTTTGTTCAGTCAAGTTTTCACAATGATTTTAATTGTTGACTGTAAGAGACCAATATGTCACCTTTCACTTGACCAGTTAAGAAATAAGATCATGTGTTTCAATTTACGCTTTGGGTAAGAGAAGCGACAGGTAATGGATTTTTTTTTTGAAAACCGATATCAGATAATCTCGTCACTTATTAATCAATGTAAAATGACAGATTAATGTTGAATAACCAATCTTGATTTGCAAACTGAAACTGGGATTGAGTCGGATCGTATAGTGAGTCGTAACGGTCTATATATGGTAAGGTGCCTGCAAAATTTTAAGGATAATTTGGTTTCATCATCTGAGTTGACAAGGTAAAAATATTGGCCACCGTCATGTACAAAGTTTCCAAAGCTGACGTTTCGAGCGTTAGCAGTTGATAAAACAAAATCTTCTTGCATTACTCGCACCGACGCAGCGCTACAGTTTCTTTTGAAACTAACCCCCTTAGAACAAAATTAAGACTTGGTGGATGTACTTAAAATTTATATCAGATTAAGCTTCGTTTTTCATTGAAATGTTCGCGGCATTTTGTTTAAGCGCAAAAATATTTAATAATTAAAATTATAAATTCTGCCTTTTCTTGCGCATATCACCTTCTGGCCCGGGTTGTTCAAAGCTGGGTGAAGATAATCCAAGGTTAGGGTGGAATTTGATTTCAGGTCTAAAAGCTTTAAAATAAAATTCAGTTCAAATCTTTTTGCTTGCAATATGCCCCTTGGGTGTTCTAAAAACAATAGAGAAAATGTTCCCTAAGAGGCTTTGGAAAAAGAAAAAAAACCTGGATTAAAATTTAACCATGGTTAGCGCTAATTTGCTTTCGAAAAAGCAGCTGAACATTTTCTATTTTTCCAGAAAATTAAAAAGGGATTCAGTAAGGAATAAAGAGACGTCAGTCTCCGAAATAATTCAACAAAAGTCATTTGTTAATCTAATATTTATCTTATTTTCAAGCAAAACACCTGTTTGTGAAAGAATATGGAATATGGGTGGGTGTTAATTGAAGCTTTGGAGAGGTTTTATTTTGGGGCTTTTAAAGATTATGTGAAGGACGTTGCCCCTAGGGAAACATTGCCTGTAAGGAAACACTTCTTAAGTGCAAACGAATTGGTTTATGTGTCATATGTTAATTTTCTCTTTTCATGTTTGTTTGTGAATGACAGTTAGGTTTTTTTTTAAATGTTATCTCATTGAGGATCGTAGTTATTTCTCTTTAAGCGTGGTGATCAGTTGACTTGCAATCTGAAATCATGGCGGCTCCTACCACATCTTTACACGAAGAACTGTTGTCCCGATCGATTTCCTCCACTGCTGGAGAATCATTCCTGTACGCGTTCATTGTATCTGTAGGCACTGTTGGTAACTTTGCAGTTCTTCTGGTCTTGTACAAAAATCATCGTCTCCGGAACATTCCCGCGTATTTTGTTGTTTCCTTGGCGATATCTGATATCATAATGTTGGATTTGTGCGCGCCATTTTCAATAGCAGTACTTATGACTGGCGACTGGTTATTTGGAGACCTACTCTGCCAGATTCAAGGTTTCATCGTCATGTTGGTCGCCTGTGCTTCGTTAGGAACACTTGCTCTAGTTGCGATAAACAGGTAAGAGAATAAATTCAGTTTTAATTCAATGAATTCAATTTTTGATAAATGAAGTAGAGATTTGGAAAGAAAGATCTGTTTTGATGAAGAGTGCCAACCTTTGTTTTCAATATTTGTTTGACTTTTTTTATCTTAGCTCTAGTGAATATTTTTTCCAGGCGTATTTTGGCATTCGTTTATAAACGGCTCGCAAGCGCCATTCGCTGATAGAATGGGTCAGGGGAATTGTAATTGCGCTACATGTATTATAATGACGAGGACGAGAAACGGTGTTGTAAAGCAAAGCTACAATCAGGGTAAATTCAAGTTTTCTCCCTTGAGCAAGAGGAAACATCATTTAAAATTACTTATTAGACAAAAGACCAAACCTAAAATTTAATGTTAGTTTCCGCACTACAATCGATGGCCAATCAGACTCGTGCAGCTCAGTTCCTTGTAGATCATATAAACCTAGATTATCATTCGGCTTAATTTTGTAAGTATCAACGCTCTATAAGGTCAACTTAACCCGTCGCCTCACTATTCCCTTTTTGTTCACCGTTGTCTTCTGCGTCCCCCTCTTTTATTACACAGAAGCAAAATAATTTGTTTCCTCTCAGTTTATTGAACGAGACTAGAAAAAAAATATAGCGCAAGGTAGGATCTGCAAATCGTTTTCAGGAAAAACTCTCATTAAGCTGTGCCGATGCAGGGTTAAAAAAGAAGAAAAAAATGAATGTCGTTAACAATGATGGTCCTTGTGCTATGTGGCATTGACAATAGTCCTTCCCGCTGTTAGGATCAGTTGAGTCAAAGTGTCGTGTGTGCGAATGGATGAAAAAAAAAATTCAATTTGCTACTTCCAAGGTTGTTAAATGGAAAAGGTAAACCTTCCATGCACGATTCTTTTATTACTGGTTTCCTTTGTAAACACTTTATTGGCAAATACAGTGTCATTACATTTATTCGGAACACCCTGTCTTGACAGTTGGATTCACCCCAATTATTACTTTTTCCTCTTTCAAGAAGACATTTTTTAAACAAAAAAATGGCGTTATCTTTAAAGTGAGGTTATTTAAACCACGGAAGTCCTATTCACAGAGTTGCAATTCGCTTTATTCTAATATTTTGATTCTGATCCATTTTTTTCTTTTCGGAGTACCAAACCGGGAAAATTATTATTTGCACTTGTTTCCACAAGTCAAGATAAAAATAAATAAATAAAAAAACTTTGGAATAACATGCGACACGCATAAATTTCTGGTGAATTATTAATAGTTGCATTCTCATTTCATCCGTACATTTTAGTGTCATGATGATGATCTATGGTAAAATGTTGGAAGATTCAATTCCATTTGAGTGTTTTATCTCCGTTGTTAAAGAAATGCAATAATAAAATTCATTAGATGAATAATTTTTTTTAACCAAAAAGTAAATACTTCAAATTGGTTTCAGGCTACCAGCTTAATTGAATTGTTACTTGTAAGTTAAGCGAATTGTATGAGCAGAATTTGAAACAATTGGCTATAACTTTAAGATGCCGCTTTTTTTCTTAAGGAGTTTTTCGGTCACATTTGATTTGACTTGAGTTGTTTATGCTGAAATTAGGTTGGGAAACCGACCGTCTTAAAATTGACTAAAATGTATAACAACTCACAAATCTGACGGAAAAATCGGTAGCGTAGATACTGTGGTTCTTCTTAAATATTTTGGGGACACTTAATCGAACTCATCAAAAAAAGCTTTCATTGCAAGTCACGTTTAACTGAAAATAGTTTTGCATCTAGTCGGGGTGGACAGGATAGGGATTCTAAGAGAAAATTACTTCAAAGAATTTCCTTTTATTCCTTGCGTTGAAAGGCGCAGAGCCGATGAAAGAGCGGGAAAGCACGAGCACTGGGTTCTATTGGTTGGAAAGAAGGCACCGGCCTGCGTTTGCTAAGCTAAATTATCATGTAACTCCTTGAAATTCAATCTATGGTTCCTCCTCCAGTTTAGAGACGAAACCAGAGATTTCTTGTTAACTCCTTTCCTTGACTCGAGCAGTTTACATTGCGCCTAATATCAGGGAGTTGACGCAATTAAAATTTAAAATGTCTGCTGATTTTTGGAGGATGCTATATACCACCAGAAATACACAATGTCCAATAAGTATTACAATTTAGAATTGCACTATATTCATCTGGATAGAAATAACATGAATGACTAAACCTCTACCACACTTGATTAGAAGTGATTTGCCGAAACAGATTCATATTTACTGACACCATTTCCCAAAAAGGGTCCATCTACTGATACCTTTTGGTTTTGTTTCTCAGATATTTTCATATTGTCAAAACCTCACAGTACAGAGTTATCTTCACTCCAAGGAATGCAATCCTCATCATACTCGGTGGATGGGCATCTGCCTTTATCACACCTTTGACTTACACTGCGGCTGGTAAAGATTACGTATTCCAACCTGGAAAGTTCTTTTGTTTCATGGAATCGAAGTTCACTTTGCTCGTGCTACCCTTTTACGGTTTTATTGCCATCTCAATGTTAATTCTCATCGTATGCTACCTGAGTGTGTTCAAAGCGTTGAAAGCCCATGAGAAAAACGTTGCAAACAATCTTCGGAAAGGAAACACCCGCCAAATAGTAATTTCGTTGGAAGATATCAGGGTCACCAAGATTTTATTTGCTACTGTGGTAGGTTTCGTCCTGTGCTGGACACCAGTACTGGTGATTGACATTGTCGATGCATTTCTTGGGTCGGAATGGGAGCTAACCCGTGGAACCTATTACATGTATACCATATTTGGTATTACAAGTTCCGCCATTAACCCTATAATTTATGGAGTCATGAATCCTTCCTACAGGAAAGCCTATTGCCGGTTATTCGGATGCCGCCGAGTAGGTCGCGTCGGAGATGTGCCAACTACCCAGGGACCGGAGCTGACGAAACATGAATTGATCCCGCCAGCAAACGACGATTCGTCGAAGACTTATTCACAGCAGATCCCACGGTCTGTTCACCAGGTTCCTTCTTCTGATCAAGAGTGAGAGGGTCATACGAAAGCCCCACTAAGGCAAAATTAAGTTAAACTTTTATCAAAATGTACAAGACGAGCTGGCGTTTTACAATGCAGCTAAAAAGTTCAAAATAATCAGGGAACTGTGTGGTACGCTGATCAAGCACGAACTCCACAAAAATCGAATCCACGGTAATCAGATCAACCATGAAAGTTTTTTGGTCTTCAAAGCGTCTCTGTTTCGAAAAAGTGGAAGATAAAAACAAACAAACGTACAATCATAAGCGAAAAAAAATGCGAATAAGAAGGGTTTACGGACTAAGCAATTCAAGCCAAGATAAATCATTTGATGTGAAGTAAAGACACGAAACACTAAAAAAACGGCCCTGATTTATATCACCAAACGTAAACGTCCCCTTTATTATGCATCATAATACTCATATCCTCAGATGCGATGTTACAAGTAATGTTTACAGGGGTTAAAAAGGGGCTTAAGCCCTTACTCGTATGCTTTATTACTTACAAAAGTTAGATATGAAGTACCAAGCTAACAGTACAAGACATGGGTATTAGGCCCTCTGCATAGCCATGTAACTTGTTTTGGTAAACACATAAAACTGTCGCGGTAAGATTAACTATAATTAACATTTTGAAGCCACTGACAAATAAGTGCAAGATTTAATCGTTAAATACAAAAGTTAACAAGACTTGCAAGGTAACAAAAGTTAGTCTCTAGAATGGACGTCTTTCGAAACGCCCCCACCATCAAGCAGCTCAATCTCGCTTTTAATCGTAAATGGCCTCAAAATTCGAAATTCTGTTTTTAATTTCGTACGCAAGGTCACTTGACTTGGAAATACAACGATATTTATCTGAGAAGGAAAATAATAAAAGCTCTATCGCACGATGATAATTGCTAAATGTGTGAGGTTGAGTTGTGGCCTTGATTTACTACGCTTTCTAACAACATGCGAACCATGAAGTTAATGTTGAGGACCTCTCAGGAAACAAGGATGATGTTTCAGAAAGTTTAAAAGATTGTGTTATGAGGTTTGATGACAAGATTTCGGTTCAGTTTGTTATCATTTTTCTGCATTTCGAGATTCGTTAATTTCTGGCTATAAGACCGAGAATTAGCATTTAATTGTATGGCGCAATATGACAAGTGAAAACGACCTCAGAAATCAACGATCAAAAATAAGCTTCTCTAACTGCATCATGGGAAATTCCACGCAAACTGACACCACGAAAGCGGCTGCATATGAAATACCGACCACTCCAACAAAAGAGATGGACTGCAAAGTAAAGTAACACAACAGTTAGAAACATTGGTCTACGCATAATCATGTGCCTGTCAGGAGAGCTGTCGAGGCAAGTTTTGTCGAAGGCTGCGATAGATTATTCCTGTAACGAAGTTGAAGCAATGGCAAGAAGTTTGAATGTCGACGATTTTTCTTGTTTGTCGCACTATTCACTAATAACTCACGCCCTTCGAAGAAGGCGCGAGTTAAAAATTCGGCTTAGTTCTTCTTCAGTCCTAAATTGTCGTTGAGTCAAAACGCACACTCGTGAGTGCAACTTTTTCACAAGAAAGCAGGGGAAAAGATTTCCACACCATTCTCGAATTCTTGTCACAAGCCATTAAAAAACGATAACACTAATGAGCTCAGATTCGTTTCCAACTAATACTAACTGGCTCGTTTACGCGATTAATGAAAGTAAACTATGTTTTTGTTCTATTTAATTTCTATAAATTTCTCGAGACAAAATCGACACAACTTACAATGTGGACATCAGAATATGCTTGCACAGTCTCGAACGATCCATAGAGTGCAACAATAGCAATTATATGGACAAGGTACGCACAGTAAGTCAGACGGCTTAATGGAATCCAGAACCGAGCTGACAAAATTTTATTCACCAAACCTTCAAAGCAGACAAGCAAAGACAAGTAAAAACAAATGGATTACAAAAGTCGCCTAATTCTCAAAATGCAAAAACACATAATGTACCTCGTAAAACTGCTGAGATTTCGCATAACACAAAAACTTACCACCAAATCCGTTTTGACAAGCAAAAATCACCCAGGCTAAGGCCAAGCTCCATGCAAAGCGGGAAAATGTCCCGTATGTGATATTCTCGGCGCGAGAGAAAGGTTCAGGATGGTCTTTTCGTAAAGCTTTGTATTCGCCATAAAGCGTCGACAGAGCGAGGGCAATAGCCACACACCAACCAGCCATGTTCAGCAAGCGCATGTTGGTCTTACAAGAGAAAACAAGATCTCTAATGATCGCGTTAATTAAAGGCAACTGATAAATCTTCAGAAATATTTCTCCTCGGCAACACAATAAAAACTGATTTACTTAAAAATCCATAAATTTAACCCATTAAAAATTCATAATGATAGCAATCTGAAATAAATGTAATTGGAACAAATAATACAATGTTAATCTTGTAGCTAATCGTGGGAGCACCTCTCGGAATCATTCACGACATTGAACGGCAATAAACACCAAGCAACGAAAAGGATAGGCATCAAAATACAACATAGTACCTTTGAGGGAAGCTTCCAATTCTTTGCGTGAACAAGTAGGTAACCCAACACCATACCAACAAGATATGGTGCAATTCGACAGTAGGGCTTGACATATGTGAGAGACGAAGAATCAATACCAGCCGCTCTACAACAAAATGATGAACAAGAAACACATAAGCGATTTAATAATCAGGGCTTTTGCTGTAAAGGTCAGCCTCTTTGATTAAATCGCGTGTTTTGGCTTGTGATAGACGCGCTTTATCTGTTCTCCAGCAATAAACCTGCAAGTTCACACAACTATCGTGGCGTGTTGTTAATCTCCAATGCTAAGTTCAGAGTAGGCCCTTTGTTCCAGTAGGGAGAGGTTTTAAGATTTACAATTAACGTGACAAGTTTCTCGGCTGTCTTTCGGCAGCGATTCACATTCCTTGGTTGGCTTGTTCGAATCACAAGTTCGCTAGCTCGGTGCAAGGACAGATTTTTCATTTAGCTCTGAGAGCTTTTCCGAAAATTTTCCTGCTTATGCAGGGGGTACACTTTTTCCTCGAAAACCTCTCAAAATTCTAGAATAATGCACAGTTTCATAGAAAAGAGATCAAAATCAAGTTTATCTCTAAATTCTGATTTAGCACCAACTACCTCGAACAACTGGGCTCGGTGAAAACAGTTTCCGTGAGATTAAAATGCCACACCCAAAAACCTTCTCAACGATTTAAACCCTGATATTTCGATCCGGCGTTCATCACAGTAACCAGCACGCTGCCTCTTCTCTCAATATGGATTTGCAATTTACTTTTGCATATTTTACATAAGGGTAAGTAAGAATGACTTACGCTTCAGCAGTAGCTGCAGGACTTAACTGAACCGCAGCAAGATGATAATGTGCATATAAGATAGCTGTTGTGATAAAACTGATCCCCATCAACGCAGCAACAATGAGAAGCAGTCCCCGCAAGCGGAATCTAATCACAAAAATACGTCACAGTTAGAAACAACAAAAATACTCTAGGATGCAAGTTAAGAAAAATGCACGAATTTCCCTATGAGAAAATCTTAGCAGCAATAATTTTTTTTGTGCCAATAATACATTTGCGTCCTTGGCACAAAAGAAGTGACAGTTATATAAGTACCATTTGTGTACTTTCGTTTCCAACATTACATCTTGATACAGCGGTCATGTCAGTCGATCCCACAAATGATAAAAGGACTTTATATTTCAAAAGTAGAAACTATACGAAATCATTGACTATCCTTAAAGTGAACTATATTTTTCAACACGAAAGAGGTTTAATTCTGTGTATTACTAGAACCTCACAGAAATGCTAAAGCGCCACGCAAAAGCAGCAGTTGGGAGCATTACCATACTCAATTCCGGACTAAAATAAATCAAAATTTTATCTAGTGATTGGTCTAAACACATCTTGAAACCGAATATGAGGCTTACAGTTTTCCTCACATGAAGCTATAGTGCACACTAAGTTTTTGCGAAAATTCAGGCCACAATGAAATATATATGTTCTGTCTGGATGGTGCAAGGTTGATACCTAACATTTCTAAAGAAGCGAGATTTTTAGCCTGAATACCTGTATGCCGTGAAGAGGATAGCAGGAGAGATGATATAGAACTGCATATCATTAGCTAAGTACCAGGACCAGCCCATACACTGTAAAGAAAACAATGATAGGATCCATACACGTAAAACTGTCAATAAACAGTCCACAAAAGGCTACACTTCCTATCTGTCTTAAAACGTGGGAGTGGAGTTTGGATATCAGGACTCCGAAATTCTTCCCTCTGCAAATGTCCCTCAGCCTCAACAGGCATGTTCTTTTTCCAGGCTGATAATAAGAAAAGGTCTCCATTTAAACATACACAACCTCTACTATCCTGAACATTAGTTTTAAGTCATACCGAAATTGAAAATTTAGTGGGATAAAAGTTGTTGATGTAGAGAAGATTAGTCCACCAGTAACTGCCGCAAGTGTTGCCCGCCTGCAATGTATACCACATCGGACCCTCGCCCAAGAATGGCGTCATTTTATCGAAAAACAGCAAAACGAACATGTAAGTTGGAGTCAACCTGTAAAGAATTGATGAAATAAACTT